AACGCCTACAGCGATACCGATACCCAATCCAGCGGCGCTGATAAACCGCTGTGTGGTTGCTGGACACCATTCTTCAGCTTTAATTGTAGAGTTATGTGGCTGAACATTCACTGTCCTATTCTCGGAGTTGGATGTCATTACTGGATTTACGTTTAATGTAAACCTGACCTCAACTTGTGATGATCGTCTGTACCAGGCGTGGCTTGGTTCGGGGAATCCTGAGTAATGCACTTGTAATCTAACCTCAGATCCAACAGTAGCATTAACTGTTGTGTTGCTTTTATCGAGTAGCAGTTTTACTGGACCTAATTAAACAAAAAATAATTTTAAATAAATTCTCAACAACTGTTAGCAGGAACTTTCTATTTTTCTTTATCTACAGTTCAAATGATAGACAACCTATATTTAACAAAACATTTAACAAAAACCTGCAATTTTACTTACTAACTAATGTAAAACAATCGTGTGTTGCAATGTACGATGGCTGATTTAGGACACGCAAAAAGTTGAGTCGAGCGCTCGAGATAATTAAGTCCCCCGCTCGATATAATACAATCGAAAATGTCTCAACCGATGTTTTAAGCTGTATGATTCTGTGTATCATTTAATGATAAACTTGCAGAATAAAGATATATACATTTGTTCGTTTTTACAGCCCACCCAAAGCTGCAGTGACGGAGCGGATTCCAACACACACCCACACACGCACCCACACACACACACACACACACCCATACCATCTATAGCCGAATACATTTCAAAGGCACAGCCTACATAACAGCTATGTTATTACAAATATAAGCTCAAGTATACCTCAAAATGGGACTCAAATGTATTTTATAAGATTTACTACTGTTGTATCTACTGTTCATAACAATATTAACGTTCAAATTACTTATTTATTTGCACAGTTAGTAATACATGTCTTTGATACTTACACTTGACAATTGTTTTAGATTTATATATATAATTATCTCTACTGTTCAGTAATTACTAACATCGTATTTATATGTAATTATGATACTTACACTTTATATACTTATACATGCTGTGAATATAATTACTACCATAACCATTATATACTGTACATATAAACTTGTAATCCAAACATTGAACTATTGTTGATACAGTAAATGTTCTAGATGTGGAGTTGGTGACATATGTTAGCTTTCCTTCTCTATTCTGACTATATATAGAAACATCTACTGGTAAAGACGTAGCACTGGATACAGTACATGTAAATATTACATTAGTTCCTACAGTTATATTACTCCTCCTAGGACTTGATTTAAAACTAAGAATGACAGCTCCTTCTAAAATATACATATAAAAAAAACACGTTCTAAATAGATCTACATACTTCATGGACGTACTTTTGCATTGTATACAAAAATCAAATCATGCAATTAATATACTCATTCCTGCATTATTATAAATTCAATAACTTTTCAGTTTAACATGTCCTGTGAATGCCTCGCAACCTTTATAAGCTACTACCATCAACTTGTAGACATTTACAATATTATACCAAGTTAAAGTGATATTACATAAAATACAACTGAACTTTTTATTTATTTAAAAAATGAGAAATGTAATCAGATGTTCTGAAAAGAGTCAAGAATTGATTTTATGTTCATTCGATGGACTTCTTGTATTAACACACTAAAACTGGACGTGGACCTTGAACGAATTGTTGGAAATAGTTCTAAATAAACAATTTACGTTTAATAAGTTGAAAAGTTGTAAGGGCGAATCATTTAGGTAGGTGGGCCAAATTAAAGTATGGCTGAAATTTGTTTTAAAAAAATGATGAGATTGGTACTGTCGGGGCCAAATGTATGTAATAAACTATCTAATTATGTTCTTTAAAAACGATTTAAAGATGCATTATGTAAGAGTTAGATAAAGAGCTGAAAAATGAATATGTTGAAAATTTTAGTTAAATTAGTTTATTTTGATCGAAGTTATGAGTGTTGGAAGTAGTGTATATTGTTTACAATCACAGCAATGAACAAACAAGACCAAGTCTCGAATATCCGGTTTGTCGTTAAATTTTTAAATGTCGCGAGATTTATATTGAAGCAATTAAATTTAGTTGCTGTTAGCGGCCATTCAAATGTCATCTGATTCGTCGCCGTATGAAGAAGGCGACAAGTCGACAGAATCGACAAAATAATCACGACAACACAATCCGACAATTGTCACTTTAATTTTGTTGTGCTTTCGACTCTATTCTGTCGTATTCACAACCCGAGAAGCCAACAACAGGACAACAGGATAGAATACAATTTTGTTGCCTCGGATCGCTGTTTTTTTTTTCAACACTAAGCTATCGAGCAAGCAAAGGACGTCAAGTTTTTGAAACGAAGTAGTCTTTAAAAAAACGCCTCGCTTTTTCTGATCATATTTTATTTAATTTAAATTGACTATCGTATTGTCGCCTTCAACTATTTCACAGCACGATTTATTCACAGTATTCCCTATGCTATGTTTGTTAGGAGTCCAATCTTTTAAGAGATAACTTTTTTATAAGTTGCAATATTTAATTGTACAATGAGATTAGGGATACGTTTTTGATAATCATAATTAAGTAGGCCCTAGTTTGTTCATACGGGATGAAAACACTATGTTTTAGCGTGGTTCATAGTTTCTTTAGAATGTAATACTAGGATGAATTGGTTTGGATCACTCCTATCTTTTCAACTATGTAAACAAGAGTTCTCAATGGGATTTCCAAAATAAATGGTCGGATTGTTTAATGGGGCATAAAGAACAATCTTATCCTAATTCAGAATTAAACATTTTCAATTAAACATTTTATTTCCAAAGATTTATTTTTAATATTATAATCTTAATTCATCTTCACAGTACAAATAGATCACCAATTAGATCGCCAAATGACCAAACACAAACCCCAACAATGAAACGTCGTAGACATATACAAAATAAATTCAGCACACCAAATAATAATCATTATTGTAATGAATATATCATACGACCGCGCAGAGTGTCACCATCCCTTTGTCGGTCATGCATGAGTTATTTTCACACAATCCATCGTCGATTTATTAATTCAATTCTATGTGCAAATTCCAAATCAGCCAATTTTAACATATTTATAGTCATATAATATAATCTTACCACCAGGGTTGACATTGTAACTAGAGCTGTCTGTACCATAATGACATGTCCACAAGCCTTCTAGTTGCTTACTGAAAGGATATATTCTAACAGTAGATATTCCAGCTGTTGTATTGACGTCATAGTTAGTACGATGAAGGTATGGTGATGATGTATTCAAAAAACACAGACCAGCACTATATGGTGATATACAGGAGAAATAAGTTATTCCTTTATAGATCCATTTAACCTCATCAGTTACTATACCAATATGACAGGTTAATGTAAAATAATAATTATATACTATTTTCTCCGGTTCGCTGGTTATAGTTATTTCACCTGCCATACAAATTTTACCAATTATTATCTAGCGGATGTTGTCAATTTAATATTTCTTGACCCCAATTTCTAATTCGAAAACTATTTAGCTCAATACAGACACCTAAAATGGTTTTGAATCATAACATAGTCTGATTTTGGGAATTCTGGGTATTCCCAAACAGTAAATATAAAACGAAAGTTGTTTAAAAGGCTCTGAGTCAATATCAAAATCGGTATCTTAAATCATGGTAAAGCAAAGACAATCCTAAATGTAATGTTGTACCACGCAGAGAGATAATGGGTTCCAAGAAGAAATTCTCGAAAAGTCCAATATCTTCTTGTAGAATGTGGTACCATTCTGGAACTCTTGTGGAGACAAAGCCCACACAAGAGCCCCCAAACCTTGCCATAAATAGTGTGGCGATACTAAGAGTAATAAGAGCCACCACCACCTCCCGTTCCCCAATATTTAGTCTGCAACCATTGTCTTAGACTTAGTTGAATCTAATATAAAGCCAAAAGACAGTTTAAATATGGGATCATTATTCTGATAATGCACGCATATTTAGATCAATCTGATTGTGCAATAATCAATATACAATGTTGGGATAATTGGGACTATATAACTTGCGTCAAAGTGAACAAACTTACCATAAAAACTATTGAATTAGTAATGTTAAATCCCACAGCTGTTTGATAAATTAATACTAACCTTGTGTACCCAATACAAATATTATTGTAGCTGCCACACAGAAAATTACAAGTGTTGTCATCTTGGACATTATTCTTCTAAAATATGTATAATAAATAAATGAAGAAGCCCCCGCAGCCCCCCACCCCCCGTTCCGCGGCCCCAGCTAATGCCCCTATTAGTTAAATTTCACGATACTAAGTTGAAATTTTACGATACTAAGTTGAAATTTCACGATATTCAAGTTGCTAAGTTGAAATCTCAAGATACTAAGTTGAAATTATTAGTTTCCGTTTTGCCATTTAATCTTTTACTATACCGAATTACGCTCACACAACACTTCCATATCCCATCATAAATAATTGAATAAGGTCTTTAGCATTGAAAACAGCGACTGGACGGACGTGTACCAATTACCATTTAAAAGGACACAAACCTTCAATGGTTTCAGTAAACAATATTTCACAGAAAAATAGTTATAACTACTAATGATGCATTCCTGTAAAAAATAAAATACGTTCTCTTTGCAAACACCAACAGAGACACTCGACCACTTATTTGTGGTTAGATCTATTCCATAAGGCCAACTTCAATTTTGGTCATTGGTCACGAAAAGTAAACAGGGCCAGCGCTAATCCAAACCCTAACTAACCCTAATCCTGGACCTGCCGCTTACCCTAACCTACAATCCCACCAACAATCACGTGCCCTAACCTTATTTACAGCTCAGCGACCTTGACGAAATCCTTAAGTTGGACTTAAGAAATAGATCTGTCCTTTACAGAAATTTGGGAAATAGTAGAATCTTGTATTCTTGAAATTGTTCGAATAATGTAAAATTTAGAATTAGGTCGGTGAAGGATCTTACCTTATAACACACATTTAACCATAAATTGGGTGGTATTGTCCATTAAACAAATAATATCTATGTTAAAGTTTTCAGGAAAAATGTATTCAGAAGCAAAAGATTGAAATACTGAAACAGTTATTCCTGAATATGGAGAACACAACAAATTCGAAACTAATGTGGCTGACTGGTACAAGTTTTTCAACAGCGCAACCTATCAATCTAAAAGTAGACATGTGACCTTTCCCTGTTGCATGTTGTCTAGCACGCGAAGCAGACGACTCTTGGCTGTACCAGTGTTTGTATCGTATCACCATCGAGGTATCAGACGCTATACACAGACGCTGCATGGTGATGGTTTAGTCCATTGAACAAGTTAGTCTCCAAATAGACCCTTTAATTAAAGATCTCTTCGAATGAAAATATGAAAGTCGCATGTACTTGAAGCCAGTATTAATCTTTTAACACTTTAGCGAACTGACCACCAATCTGAATAAAAGTGGGAGGGGGCGGGGAGTTGGATGGCCAATGGTTAGCGTGTGAGCGCTGCATCATATAAGGTCTGTCATTGAGTCAGCTGGCGCGGTTTAGATTCCCCGGGTGTACGTGACAAGGAGTTGGGTCGCCTGTCCAACCCCGTGGGTTTTCTCCCTACGCGCAAACGAATTATTGAAATAAGATTGAACAATATGTTAGTCCCGAAAAAACTTAGTTTTTGTCAAGTGGGCGTTAAGCCACATCTCTCCCTCTTGTTCACAAGGCGGGGTGACTCCGGAACGGAAAGTCACAGAACGCTTAAAGGTACTATGCCGATTTGAGTCTTAAAAATGAAGGTCCGATTACGTATAACATTTAAGCGCCAAAATGTAGAGTAAAGGTGTATTTACCATGTCTCAAAATTTCAGCTCGAAATATTGAGTCCTTTGGCCGTAAACGCCAATTAAAAACTGCTTATCCGGACACGTAACCCTTTTACGATTTCGGGTCAGTGTTTTCGTTGGGTGACCTGATAATCGATTCCCGTTCCTTGAGAGGTCTATACAGTGAATGACCCATGTGCTGTACTTGATAACGAAAGGTAAATTTCACCTACGCATTATATTTATATAAAAAAAATGTCTGGTTTTATCCAGACACCGCATAATACAGCTTGGGACACCGGTCCCCATTTCCAGATGAATGAAAACGTATCACAAATATTGAGTTATTTGCTCGGCCCTTTGGTAGGGGATTTTAAGGGATATTAAAACAAAATTAAGCAGTTTTATTCTCAAAAAGATTATCGGAATTCGCCCTTTAATGTCAATAGGGTTCATTCTCTCATCCCCCTTCCCAGCCCATGCTTCCTGCCACATCTGAAAGAATTCCGTTAAAAGCTATATCCAGTATCGCGTCCACAATGTTTTCGGAAAAAGAGGATAACGATAACTCCGCACAGGATAGTCACAGAATGCTGAAAATCAATAGTGTTCATTCTCCCATGACCCCAATTTTGAAAAAATTAAAACTACAGACTCTATCGTGTTCTCAAGGTTATGGGCAAAGGAGAGTGGGTAACCCTGTAACAGAAAGTCACGGTACACTGAATATCGATAGGGCTATTGATGACCACAATGCTTCACATCAAATCTGAACATAAAAATCCGCTGAAAAGGGAATGGTAACGTCACCGCCCCATATCCTACATAACTTTTCGTAACCAGCTGAAAACGGCTGGGTATGGCGCTAAGCGACCTATCAGACGACATATCAAAGGGGAACGTCCTAGAACAGGTTCTGTTCGGCGGCGGCGCTTTATCGGCCTGCATTTCACACGACTGTAACCTTCCACTGGTAATAGTTAGAGGTTGTAGTGTTTGACTCAATCGGCAAACCTCAACAGATTCCAGTACCCTACATCTAATGTAGAGTACCGGAATCTGCCGAGGTTTGCCGAGTTGTGTTTGACTTTGACACTCATCCTCTTCTCACAAGGCCAATCTTCATGGATTAAGACTAGTAATTATTTCCCCTTATTTCATGATAGAGTGCGAGTTATAAATAGACAATTTTTCCCTTAATTTTTTTCTCCCCTCTTCCTGCATTTTTGGGTTGACTTTTTGGTCTAGAATTGGAGAAAAGGGATCAAATTTGCAATTTCATAGCAGTTTTGGGTAATACTGATGATATTACAGCGGAGGGATAGGGGGTGTAAAGTGTCTTTCTGCAGAGCAATCATTGTGTCGGAAGTGAGATTTTCACCCCAGTCAACTTCAAATCCCCGTAGCAAAAAATCTAAATGGTCAACCCCCTACAAATTTATGATGGGGATATTGCCAAATGTGGTCCCCATTGTGCCTATACAGATTGGAACCAACGGAATGTTGAGCAAAAAGCTACAGCCTGTGATGTTACAGCCATTTAACATTGAAGTCAATGGGCAAATAATTGCTCGTCAGAGTCCTCATGGACGACACTAGAGTTATTTCCCTTCAAAAGTCGGTCCCAAGCACCCGACACAACACTGATCATCAAGCAATATTCACTAGGCCGCTACAATCGGATTAATTATATCGCAAATTAAATTCTAGAACATTTTTTTGAAGTATTAGAAAACAGATAAAGGTGTTGAACTATATCTGGATAAGAAAGACATTTCCTATTAAGTGTAAATGGGTATATAAAATGAGTAAAAGGCCTCATCCTTCCCGGACCAGTTTACACTACGACGTCTTATGTTACCAATGCACGCGCCATCGAGTCAAATATCGACAACACAGAGTGTCGACAATGTGTGATGTGGCGTCACATGTAGAAGGCATACTTGAACGTCTGACGCAAGAGTTATAATAAGGCTTTCGCAATGTCTCTGTGAAACAGATTGACCCGATACAATGACATCCTATTCCTGTATCGTTTTGTCCAATAGAGATTTTAGTTAAGTATGTTTACAATATCTATTTGGCGGTACAGTAAATGCAAGTTGGTTTAAACTCCAGAATGTAAGCTTTGAAAGTTCGATCTTTGGGTTGACATCGTTTTGATATTTTATAACTAAATTACAGGTATACAGGTACAACAAAGGAATATAATGCGTTACCAAAGTACTTTTGTTTATTTCAAGATACATTTACTTGAAAGTCGGGATTCGATTTAGAAAACATATCCACACTGCCGGAGCAACGAGTGAGTAATGTTAAAAGAAATGGGGTTTAACGCCCTACTTTCCCGCCAGCACGTACTGAACTAATCCACTCCCAAAGACAGACTCGGTGGTTGACGCACTAATATATATATTTTTTTTAAATGAATTTTTATAATTGTTTTTCACCTTCATTTTACATTAGTTTTATTTACTACCTGCAATTCAAAAGAATAGTGGTCATTTCAGATTGTGGAACCGCTTAGCAATCGTACTCTTTGTTGGAGGGACGCTCTGATATTTAACTTATTTTATTTATTTTGGGCTTCATCAGCAATTTGTGTATAATTTTAGATCTGGATGAATTTAGAGGTCGACCAGATGACCAAACTATACTCGATGGAATTTACCTTTAATTTTAATAATAAATATATTGATAAAAAAAATTATAGTATTGAGTCAATTCGCGTGGTTTCGATTCCCCGCGTGTACGTGACAAGGAGTAGGGTCGCCTGTCCAACCTAGTGGGGTTTCTCCTGGTCCTCGGATTTCTTCCCGCTGCTAAAGACCTTAGTGCCGTTAAACCACATTTCATCTCTCTCTCTCTCTCTCTCTCTCTCTCGCTTCTATTGTGAAATCTATAGTTTTAAGAGGTAAATTATCGTCCATCAGCAAGCGGTGTCGTACTTTAAACATATAGGGATTATAAGATTATATCCCTGTACTGTCTCCTTCCCCAGACGGTGTCAATTTTCTTTTAACTTGCAAAATTATACCCAGTATAAGAATATTGGTTATAACTCCTACAGCAAATCCGATACCTACTCCGGCAGCGGTGATTAACGGCTGGGTAGGTGCTGGTCGCATTTCATTCTTAGTAGAGTTACGGTGATGGGTAGTTTCTATCGGAATCTCTGAGGTAGCCCCTACATCGATTGAACTAAATGCGAGATCATGTAATACTGTTGTTGGACACATTGCTTCAGCTAGCGTAGTAGAATCCGTTAGTGGAGGATCTACTGTTGTGACTACAGATAACACGTTTAGTGTGAATAAAACAAGATATTCCTGTCCAGTGGCATTAATGCGAACGCCATATTGTCCATCATCTTGTAGATCAACATTACTGATTTGGAGATAGATGTATTTGCTCCTATCAAAGGTATTTGACCAATGTGTTCTATAACTGTTCAACTTGACCTCAACTTGTGAGGATCGTCTGTACCAGGTGTAGCTTGGTTCGGGGAATCCAGAATAAAACACTCGTGATCTAGTCTCAGATCCAACAGTAGCATTTATTGTTGTGCTTGTTTCGTCTAGTAGTAGTGTCATTGGACCTTAATAAACAAAATTGAATGTGGGTCATACCTCTAGTTTCTCATCAAGGTGTGCTTTTCCTTACCCCTCTACAATCATTTCGATGAGCCAACGCTTTTGAAACGCTGCCACTCAATGGTGTCGTCTATTTAATTAAATAGAATTAGTATTTGGCTTTATATACTATAACTAACATATCAGCTACTTTATTTTGACACATCTAAATGTTAGATACACAGTGACCGTAGTATTACACTTTTGTGTCACAGTATTAATTGACATAGAATTTAAATGCTTTTTGTATCGATCGTACCGTATTTTGTGTATTTATAATACTTTCAGATTCGATTATAATACTTTAGTGGCATTTAGCGATTGGAAACATAACAAAACTAACACGGTTATATGGAACAACAATCACTGGTTTATTATACACAAACACAACGTTTCGATAAGTATCCTCTTATCGAAACGTTGTGCTTATGTATAATAAACCAGTGATTGTTGTCCCATATAACTGTGTTAGTTTAGATTCGATTATATCTAGATTCGATTAGGTCGGGTGTTCGATCCCTGCATTGGCCGAGAAAGTAAATACAGATTTTCCGGCGTGGTTTCCCCTTGTCAGTGATGCATGACGGAGGGCCTGACAAGGACAGCTGTCTAGTCGTTCGGATGGGACGAAAAACCGAGGTCCCGTGTACGTATTGCGTGCACGTAAAAGATCCCTTGGCAGTTGGAATTCG